ACAATATAAAATATATATTTTATTTATATAAAAGTATAAATAAAATTAAGCCAATAAACAAAAAAAGCTTGAAAACTCAAAATAATTGTATGCTAGACTTACCACATAAGTGGGGCACCTCTGCCACTATACTATTGTCATCGAATTCCTCAGAAACACATTGCTAGTAACTGCATTACGCCAGAATTAGTGGTTATACAGAAATTCACTAATTCACACAAGTTTTACTTCAGTTACATGTTAGGCATCAATGAAGCAAAAATTCAAGTAAGCAACAAATACAATTCAGATAAGATCTGTATCCCATAAAAACAGGATTATGAAAAGACTTCGCAGTCATGATTTAAATTTCTATGTTGCTGTGTCTGAGAAACACAACCCATAGCTGCATCAGATTTTCCTGCATTAATTGCAGTGACCTCCCATGTAGCATTACGATCATGTTTTTGTACAAATGTAGCCAGCCAATGCCTGTGCTTTAGAAAGGAAGCTGACAAATTCAAAGTCCAAGAAAGCTATAAAAGTGATCTGAATCTAGAAGCAGTGGAGAGAAGGAAAAGAAAAAAATAAAAAGCAACATTTACTTAAGTCATGAAAGGGAAGCTCAAGAAAGAAAACAATCATGATTTCCTACCCCAGGTATTCCTAAAAACATTCTTGCTAATGCACTGAAGTTCAACCAGAAAGTCTGAACTTGTCACAAGAATTAGGGATTTATTGACCCATTGCTAACATGGCAGGCTTTACTACATTACTGTAATGTAATAGTTCTTTTACTTGCTAAGGTGCTCTTTTAATCCATAATTGAATTAATATATACAACAGTATTTCTGTAATTTCTTCCTTGGATGAGCAATAATTAGTATATTGAGCAAAAAGACAGTAGAGCACTATGTTGAAATAGAAATTAAAAATACAGACATTGGAGCTTATAGTAACAATAGAAAACATCAAATCCCTACGATGTACACAAAAAGAGCCTTTTAATATAAGCCCTAAAAATGTCAGTTACCAATTAATTCAGTGTATAAAAGCAGCTATATAAGCAGAACCCAAAATGGAAATTTGCTACTCATCTCAGTACAAAGCAATGCAATTGAAAATTGGTGCTTGACAACCTGTAAGAAAAGCTCAATGGAAACATTACTGACCAAAGCACATTCTGCCTTATCTTGCCAAACTGCTGGCAGTTGTCCTTGTGCCCTTTCTATATTTAAGAAAAAAGGAAAACCTATCACCACATAGTGCTGTATTTCCAGTGTCTAGTCTAAAGCTTTTTGAATGCTTATTTTTCAATTGATGAAGATACTCCGATATTAAATAGACAACATATAAGATATCACATTAATGTGGACAATTAGTATGAGCTATTATTCCTGAGTAAGTAGGAAGACACACTGTTAAAGTTTGTAGACACTAAAATTCCCAGGAGATTTTTCTCCATTTCCTTTCAGTTATGTTTTCATACCTCAGCACACTGAGCCATGCAAGTAAGCTAGCATTTGGAAGAAACCCATATTCTCATACTCACCAAGGAAACAACTAATGTGAAGAGCCAGGCATAGATGAAGAAGTAGTCTCCCCCTATTTTAATAATGTAAAGCAGAAGGGACGTCACTGGCAACAGAATACATTGAGTCACGATAAACTTCTTGATAGCATCCTTAAAAAAAAATCCCAGCGTCTGTAAAGAAAGCATATCAGTGATATTTTCAATGTAAATATTGATGTGCCACAGTGATTAATGAACTGATCCCTTCAGTGGATGCACAGAAACAAAAAAAGACAAATCGCTAAACAGCAATACCAATGTGATAAGGCAATCAGAGTCAGTTAAGAAAAGGTGGAAGAACCTTTTCACCTCCTCTCCTGGTAGCTGTGGCTCTTTACATCCACAAAAACTCCGAATCCATGCAGAAGCACTCTTCCTTAGTAAGATCAGACCCAAACCCTTATTTTGTGTTGCACATATATACTTCATTAAAGGAGGAAAGAAAAATTTAAGCTTATCTGTGCCTTAATTCTGTTACCAATCTATACTGTAGACATTACGGGATTTTTAGAGAATAGGAAACTCTGAAAGTAACATAGCTACTGTAAAATATTTTGTCTTTGAACAGTTGCCTTCATTCATCTTAAATTTGAGTTACCACTAAGCTGACTGTCTTAACTGGAAATATATAGAAGTCCCATTAAAGATTTTTAGATACACATTAGGCATTTTACTCCAAGCTTCCACTGACATACAGCTACTTACTCATGTAGCTGTCTCAGGTTTTAAAATCAGCATAACTTTAATAGAAGTAATAGAAATTTCAAAGACCTCTACCTGAATGAATCTGATCTAGTGACTCTGCAACATGATTAGACACCCAACTAGCTCTTTTGGGAATTGCTACCTCAGTACTTAACAGCTATCTGCAAGGCACAAAAGTAAAGGGGTTATTATGTAAAGATCATTCCCAATAAGGTTGTATTAAAAAGCCCACACTACGTTAAAGATATGGAACTTGTCTAGAGAAAAAAATCCTCATTTTCAGCAAGCCACTGCCATGGATGAAAGAGTCTATCTGAAGATCATTTGAGAATCATTGCTAGAAATTTCAAAGTCTGGACTGGTACCAAGCGTGAATTTGGCTCATTCAAAGGACCTAGCCCATCAGTCTGAAATGGAAGACGAAGATTTGAGTGTGTTTGTAAGACATCTGATATCTCAAATTGGATTGGAGCTGGACTCAGCCTTCAGTTCCTGGCATGAAGACCACTGCAGTGAAAAAACCCCCTTGTAAAAGACATCATACAGGTCGCTCAGTCAAGCACTTAACAATGCCCACAGCTATCAGTGCCAATCTTTCCTTTTCTCATTTGATTAGGCACAATGCTTGCACTGACAACAATGAAGTACCCAGAGAGCACAGCTCCAAGAAGAAAATGTTCAAAGGATATGTCCAGAATCCTCCTTACCAAAGCATTCAAAGAAACCACATGGATTCTGCAAGCTCTCAAGACAGTTTTAAAGAAGCCCATGCTGCTAAGTTCAGTATTTGACCCTCTGCTTCTTCTGCACAGAGGTAGGGCCTGATCAAGTCAAGCTTTCCACCCAGTCTGCCAGTTTGCTCTAATTCTAGTGCTTTACAAGTCCCAATACTGACAGTCTTTGGACTTTTGTGTCCTGGACATAAAGGGCTTGCAGATCTGACACCAAGATGGAACTTACTCCTCACTAAGGTAGGAGAAACAATCAAAGTGCAGGCCTGATGTGACTACTCAGGACTGACATGAGCGACGACAGTGTAAGATGGCTTTTCATGCGTATTTAAGGATTCTAAATGCCAAAAGGATGTCTAGGTTAGGCCAGGGCATAAGCACGTTGCAAGAATTAGGACTTTGCCAGCCCTTACAATTTTTGAAGACTACAGAACTGAAGTGATAGCCAGAGAACAAACAGAATACATCAAATAGATGAAAAGATTGCTTGACTCATGCTCTGGAAATATGAAATCATAGAATCATTTAGGTTGGAAAAGACCTTTAAGATCATCAAGTCCAACCGTTAACCCAGCACTGCCAAGTACACCACTAAACTATGTCCCTAAGCGCCACATCTACACGTCTTTTCAGTACCTCCAGGAATGGTGACTCAACCACTTCCCTGGGCAGCCTGGTCCAGTGATTGACAACCCTTTCAGCGAAGAAGTTTTTCCTAATCTCCAATCTAAACCTCCCCTGGCACAACTTGAGGCCATTTCCTCTCATTCTATCACTTGTTACTTGGGAAAAGAGACCAACACCCACCTGGCTACAACCTCCTTTCAGGTAGTTGTAGAGAGTGATAAGGACTCCCCTCAGCCTCCTTTTCTCCAGACTAAAAAAGCCCAGTTCCCTCAGCTGCCTCTCACAGGACTTGTGCTCTAGACCCTTCACCAGCTTCATTGCCATTCTCTGGACACACTCCAGCACCTCAGTGTCCTTCTTGTAGTGAGGGGCCCAAAACTGAACACAGTACTCAAGGTGCGGCCTTGTAGACTTGGAACAGAAAGTACTGTAGACAACACCATCTGGGTCCAAAAGCACAAAAGAAATCTTATGCTCTGGCATGAAATCGCTAATGATGTGTCCCAGATTGAAGTTCCTCCCAAAAAGAAAATCTGATCTCCAGAGAAACTGATAATGAAACAGCTTAAACTAAGTTGGTGAGAGAAATTAAAAAAGCCAGGGCTTTTTAATTTTTTTCATTTGTACTACAGAAGTACAAATGAAGAGCTGAATTATCTAATTTAGTAAAGGCTGATACAAGAAAACAATAAGCAAAACAAAATGAGGACAAAAGAAATTTCTTGGTTTTATCTGTTCAGTGCCCCTGTAAAGCAGTGATCCAGACTTTTCAGGAAGGGCATATGAAGGGCAAAGACTAGTCCAAAAATGAACAGCTGATATATGAAATGTTCTTTATTCTACTTCTAGAATACACATTTCTCTTTGCTTAGAGGCACAGGCTCATGCAGAGACACTGTGGTGCAGCATGGGTACTTCTGCAACAGTCACAAACTGTCATTGGTCTTATTTTTATGCAGTGCAAGTAGAAATGTTCCTAAAACTAATGATCTTTGGCACAGATATGGACATACCAGTTCATCTAACCAACCAAAACCTACTGAAGAAGTTAGGTCAGTATAAGTGCTAGCCACAATACCTGTTGATTGAAGCCATGTTTCTCTTCTATGACGAATGTGTTATATAAACTCCATGGGAGACCAGTCACTGCACTGAAGAGTGTTGCAAGCAGCAGAAATACCAATGACTGAACAATCTAAAAAAAACCAAAACACCAAAAACAAACAAACAAAAAAAACAACCAACAAAACCCAAACTGATATTTACTGACTTGTACTAAAATTAATATTCCAGGTGTTAAAAATGGATTTTATGTCAGTGATGAAGCTAGATAAATTCACAAAAATAACATGTTTGTGATGATTAGATTACTGATCACTGGAATAGCTTACTACGTTAAAGACAGAAAAAAAATATACTGTTGAAACAGATTTAAATAAAAGCTAAGGATTTGGGACAAGAATTTGCATAGTTGCTTCAGCACAGCACAAAGACAACGTAAGCAGTAGCCTCAAATTTCTTACCCTTTTACTGTGCAGGAAGATCATAACTAGGATTAGTAAAAAGACAACACCCAAACAAAAAGCCCCCAAAACCCCAACCCACCACCTCCTTTGACTCAAGTAGCTTTGACACTTGTGTATTTTTAACATACAAGGCTATTTTAATTAGTAAACTAATTTAAAAGTCACATACTGTTATCAGTTCTCAGACTCACCTAATCCAATGATTCACAATTGTTCACCAGAAAATATCTGTTATTTTTACTACATTGTACCTGTAGCTAAAACCCACTTTAAGTAAATGCAAGCTTAAAAATAAAAATTTTTGTAATAGTACAGGTCGTGGACCAGAAGTTTTCACTAAAATTTGAAGACTGCTTACCTCATATTCTGGTCCAAACCCAGCACGACCAGAGATCTGACCAGACACATTCCAGAGAAAAGGAATTCCTCCACAGAGAAGAATCATCTTGAAAACAAAAACACATACCACAGAGGCAATATGAAACAGATTGTCATCTTATTCTACTAAAATTTCAGCATGACAAGGACCTTTTAAGGGTGAATGAGAAAAGTTTTAGAATTAGACTTTTTGTCCCTCTCTGATCTTAGCAGTGCATAAAGAAAGCCTGGAATATTTGGCAGTGGTTCATTTTCACTTTACAGGAGTAGCGAGCAGGTCTAACACAGCATCTCCCCTTCAATTAACTTGCTAAGTTAATGAATCATACTTCTACCTACTAAAAGCAAAATGTTGCGACACTGCCATCCAATTTCATCGACTTTGGCCACAACAGCCTATTTGAAGTCCAGGCAGTTCCCAAAGCCAATAAATGATGCAGTTTATGCTCTAAGGAAGTGGCAAACCCAGACAGTAGCGGCCACCTCAGTTTAGCTCTGCTGGAATCTGATAATCCCAGGACAGATTCTGAGAAACGGGAAGACGCAGCTCAACATCACAGAAAGGAGCAATAACTCATCATCACATACATGTAGACAAGAACCTGCGTGTACCTTACACATCAGGGGTATCAGCTTAATTGTAGAATAGAATCATAGAATCATTAAGATTGGAAAAGACCTTTAAGATCATCAAGTCCAAGTGTTATCTTAACGCTATCCAGTCCACCACTAAATCATGTCCATAAGCGCCACATCTACATGTCTTTCAACACCTCCAGCAATGACGACTTAACCACTTCCCTGAGCAGCCTGTTCCAATGCTTGATAGCTCTTTTGGTGAAGAATCCAATCTAAACCTCCCCTGGCACAACTTGAGGCCATTTCCTCTTGTCCTATCACTTGTTACTTGGGAAAAAGAGACCCCCAACACACACCTGGCTACACCCTCCTTTCAGGTAGTTGTAGAGACTGATATGGTCTCCCCTCAGCCTCCTTTTCTCCAGGCTAGAGAACCAGGAACAACTTCAGTTCCCTCAGCTGCTCCTCATAACACTTATTCTCTAGACCCTTCACCAGCTTCATTTCTCTTCTTTGGACACGCTCCAGCACCTCAGTGTCCTTCTTATAGTGAGGGGCCCAAAACTGAACACAGTATTCAAAGCGTGGTCTCACCATTGCAAAGAGCACAGGGGGACGATCACTTCCTCAGTTGTGCTGGCCACACCATTTCTGTTGGCCTTCTTGGCCACCTCGTATTCAGGCGACTGTCAACCAACACCCCCAGGTCATTTTCCACCAGGCAGCTTTCCAGCCACTCTTCCCCAAGCCTGTACGCTCTTCCCCAAGCCTGTAGCCTTGCCTGGAGTTGTTGTGACCCAAGTGCAGGATCCAGCACTGAGCCTTTTTGAATTTCACAGAATTCGCCTCAGGAATGAGGAATGCATGAAGTAGCTGTTTGAAATCTAATGAGCAATAATGGCCTGAGTTACAACCATACCATTGCCGCAGCCTTCAGACCAGAGGTATTTTCCCTGTTAGGAAATATGCTGCAGCCATGACAGAGAAATGGTATGTAGGAAAAGGTTTGTACATTATGTCTTTTTATTATTAGGTTGATCACAGCAAGTGGAACAAGCAGGCAGGTTTTTTTGGAAACAGAACCTTTTCTTTAAGTCTGAAGTGAAGCCAGCAGACTTCAGTACAATTTAAGAAGATGCATAATCAAGTCTAGAGGTGTTAGAAGCAGCAGACAGAAGAAGATCAGAGTGAGCTGGATACTCAGTGTCTCTGCTAAGTCCACGGTAAACAGCTGGAAGTTCTCAATGTTTCACAAGCTATTGTCTCAAAAAACAATCACCCTCATTGTCTATCCCATTTGGAATACTGCAAAGGTAATGACTGCTTTATCACTCAAAGTGCTCCCAGCTGCTAATTCAGCTCTGAACTTTATTTCAAGCTTGTATTATCTTACAAGCATTAAGGTGGACATTACCGACCCGAAGCAGCTTTATATGCCTCCAAGATTGTCTATTTTTTTAGACCAGTTAGTGCAGGTGGGAAAATGCTACTACCTAGGGTTTTTTTCTGATCTTTTAAACATACCAAATAAAGGCACCATAAGGATGTTTTCCAACTCTCAATTTTCCAAGAAAACCTCTTGCCCTGGGATGACAATGGATTGGGGTGGTTGGAGGTGGAATTTCCATTCAAGTGTAACTTTCCCGTTGCAGGAACAAAAGGGAAGATAAGAAGTGTGTTAACAACGAACACAATTTTAAAAGACAGGAATTCTAAACACAAGGGCAGCAGAGAGGACCAGCTGTGGAGATCTTCCAAAGCTCACAGCTGACCATGATATACTTGCCTTACATCACTCCAAATGGGACCTGAGTGCTCAACCACAAACACAAATTTTGTGACTTTAACATAAAATTCATTAAGGAAATCCTACAAATGGCAGCTTTTCAAAAGTCCATGGCAATGCTGCAAAGAAGGAAGTGCCCGGCCAATGCCCAGCACCAAGAGATGTAAAACAATCTACTGAACTCAATGAAGAAACTCTGCTGCAGGGGTGACTGGGTATCAGTGATACTATATGATTGTAGATTATTTAGCTCTAGCTAAATAAAACTTCTATTAACGGAGTCATAATGAAGAAACGAGATGTAGGAGCCACTGGACTTGCAAGTGTTACCTTGCTTCCACAAAGCTCTGCAACCTCTGTAGTAAATCTGTGAATGCAGTCAAAGCTTGGACATCTAAGAGCTTGCAGGTCCAATAGCAACCCTCCTGGGACAGCTCACTCCCAATCCCAAAGTCATGAAGTTCTGGGATACAGAATCGCAAGACCACAACCCATCAAGTCCAAGTAGGAACACTAACTTCTTGTTCAGAAGATGAAAACAACTGATGATACTAGTAGAATATGGGCATATTGTATCTCAGCTGACTGCTCTGAGACGAGCGCTCAATTAATTAACTGCGAGCTTTAACACACATATTCCATGTTTTTTCCTTGGCTTATGTTCATCAGTGTCACTGCAACACAAAAAGCAGAGCGCTGCAACCAACTTGATAACAGCAGCAGCAGCTTCCCAGCTGTCTATCACCACCACAGTTGAAACAGTGGAACAACATATAAGCTAAGACGCCTGACTTAGTAACTGGTTTTGACTGCTGCTTAGGAAGCACCAGCATACTTTGGGTTTTGTGCCTCAGCTGTGGAAGACAACTGGATGCAGTAATTTAACAGATCCATCAGCTGCCAAAATCATTGTGGACCTGTTATTACAGAAACAGAGACAGAATAGAAAGAAAAGGTCATGAGAGAAAGCAAAGGCTGTGCTTTTCCTACACCGGCACAATCACAGAATGGATTGCGTTGGAAGGGACCTTAAAGATCATTTGGTCCAACCCCCCCCTGCCAAGAGCAGGGACATCTTTCACTAGACCAGGTTGCCCAAAGCCCCATCCAACCTGGCCTTGAACACTTCCAATGATAGGGCATCCACAACTTCTCTGGGCAACCTATGCCAGTGCCTCACCACAAAAAATTTTTTCCTTATGTCCAATCTAAACCTACCCTCTTTCAGTTTGAAACCATTGCCCCTTGTCCTGTCACTACAGGCCTTGGTAAACAGTCTCTCTCCATCTTTTTTATAAACCTCCTTTAAGTATTGAAAGGCCACAAGAAGGTCTCCCTGGAGCCTTTTCTTCTCCAGGCTGAACAACCCCAACTCTCTCAGCCTGTCTTCTCTAGACAGCTGCTCCAGCCCACTGACCATTTTTGTGGCCTCTTCCAGACCTGCTCTGACAGGTCCATGTCCTTCTTGTCCTGGGGACCCCAGAGGTGGATGCAGTACTCCAGGTGGGGTCTTACGAGAGCAGAGTAGAGGGGCAGAATCCCCTCCCTCGATGTGCTGGCCATACTTCTGGTAATGCAACCCAGCATATGGGCTTTCTGGGCTGCAAGCGCACATTGATGGCTCATATCCAATTTTTCATCCACCAGTACCCCTAAGTCCTTCTCCACAGGGCTGCTCTCAATCAATTCATCCCCCAGTTTGTACTGATACTGGGGACTGCCCCAAACAAGCTGCAGGATCTTGCACTTGGCCTTGTTGAACTTCATGAGGTTTGCACAGGCCCACTCCTCAAGCCTGTTGAGATCACCCTGGATGGCATCCCTTCCCTCTTGTGTATCAACTGCACCACACAGCTTGATGTCATCGGCAAACTTGCTTAGAGTGCATTCAGGCCCACTGGCTATGTTGTTGATCAAGATATTAAATAGTATTCATGCCAGCATGGACCCTCGAGGGACACCACTGGTTTCCACTTGAACATTGAGCCATTGGCTATAACTCTTTGGATGCAGCCAGCCAGCCAGTTCTTTATCCATCTTGCAGTCCATCTGTCAAACCCATATCTCTCCAATTTAGCAGCTAGAATGTTGTGGGGGACCTTAACAATAGTTGGTCTGGGTAAAGATATGCACAGACTCCTGATATGGCTCTCTGTTTAGCAGGGTACCAAATTCAGTGGCAAAAGAGGTTCATTCCAATATTGTATACATATATTTTCCTTAAAAACAAGGGAAGTTGTTTTGGCTAAAGCTCTTGAAATCAAGATAAAGCTTCAGAACCTTTTGTTTTGTTGCACTTGCTAGGTTGTACCATCTTGCTCTGTCTTCTAATCCACTGTTGGAGGATAGCTTCATTTTTCAAATGAAATACTGCCTCTAAAGCCAGTCAAAACCACAGAAGCTTTTCAAATTCACGTGAAAATTGTCTTGAGTTCTACTTACTGTATCAAAAATCCCTACAGGAAGAGTATCAGCTATACTGACATGTATAACATTTTTAGAAGTTCATACAAAATGAAACAATGTACAGGTTAGGCTGCACAAAAGAGATCAGGAAATGCAAAATTTAAGAGGGGTCACAATTCTTAAGTACTGGTTTCGCACCATAGTTGTGCGGTTACACGACTTACACTATTATTTTCATTATATTTTATAATTGACCTTTTTGCTTCCTTAAGTTCATCATGTAGTAGATCATACTCTAATTATATTTTGCAATGCCAGGCATTTCAGGATTCCTTTATGACCCAGTTGTGCTGCTGATGAGTGGTGCATTTCAGCATTAAGTCAGAAAAGGTTTCTCTTAAGACTGTAGATCACACATGTAAATACTCTGTTCTAACTCAATGACTCTGTTTTTTCATATATGCGAACATTAATTGCCCAGTGTAATTGTTCTTATACTTAAGAAGTATCCATTGGTACTCCTCCTGTTCTCACAGTCTTTTCTTTCTACCTTCTACTTAAATTTTATCTAAAAATGAAAGTAGTTGCATCCCTCCAAACACAGGAAAAGGTCTGTATTTGTAACAATTTAAAATAATTCTAATGTTGCTTAATTATTTGGCAGTGGAAACAATAATAGGTCAGCTGTGCCACTAAAACATAATAATATGAGTTGTAGTTGTGCAGTATGACTCAGCACTGCATAGAGAAGTTATGTGCTGTCTGAATAATTCCTCTTTTTATATGGCAAATACAGCCACAAACAAGAATCCTAGACCTTTAAAATTTCAGGTTTTGACATAAGATGTCAGAATGCCAACAGTGCAGCTGCACAGGATCAGTAAGAATCAAAGTATTTCACAGTTTAAGTACACGAAAAGAATCATATGAATGCTAGATCAGCTCAGGTACTTACAGTGCCCTCAACCTCTGAGTACAGGCCTGACCAAAAGCTGAAAGTACTTTTGTCCAGCTGATAGAGACGAGATTTTTCGAATGTTTCTGAATCCATGATCTGTCCTAATTCCCATGGTACATGTGTTGTTGTTCTATACACCCGTCTCTGAAAAATTGAAAAAGAAACTTCAAGTCTACATCCAATATTTTTAAGGAGATAAATAAGATTTAAAAGTAACACATAATATGATCCCAAGGGATTACCCCAGAAAGTTTATAAAAAAGCAAACTCACAAAATAACAAATATTCCTAAATTCATGTTTTCTATCAAGTTCCAAATACAAAACTGAAGCATAATTAATATGTTATAACCAGAAATTGAGTTGCCTACTTAGTAATTTATTTCCAATATAGTTACTATATAAAGATGACACAAACTCATTTTTCCACAGGATATGACTTAGTGCACCACAATAACAAATAAGCAGAGTTTGAAATTAAACACCAGATCCACCCATGCAAATCATGCAACTTCATCAGAAAACACATCTGATGCAGCCGCATAAATGAGGTGCTATTTCATTTTCAGTAGAGAAAACACTTTAAAACTTTTGAAGACCAGAAATCTTTATTCCATCCACTGCCTTATCTTGTTTTGTTATATTTATCCCTTCTCAAAGGAAAAGCTTCTACCCTTTGCCCCTTCAAAATACATTCTTCCTCTGACCGGAGTATTGGGCTGGCAGTCTCAGTGATGGCTTAGCTGATTGAATGGTTCACCAGTATACAGCATCGCTTCCTGTCCTCCCAGCAGCATTATTCCCAGCTATGCTGGGTCTGGCTCAGACAGAGTTAATTTTTTCATAGCTATCTGCACAGTGGTATGCTTTGCATTTGTGGCCAAAGCAGTGCTGATAACACACCAGTGTTCTGGCTACTGCCTGAGAGTGTCAAGGCTTTCTTTCTCTCTCTTCCCCAGCAAGCAGGCTGGGGGTGGACAAGAGGCTGGAAGGCAACACAGCCAGGACAGCTGACCTGAGCTGACCCAAGGGATATTCCATGCTGTATAAAGTTATACTCAGCAATAAAAGCTGAACTAGAGATAGAAGAAGGGAGGAGGGAAGAGGGTTTGACTTCCAAGGTGGCTGTTACCTGGAGACTGGCCAGGCATCGGCCTGCTTGTGGGAGGTGGTGAGAGATTGCCTTTGCAGTACACATGGGCTTTTCTTCCCCTCTTCCCTTCACTTATTAAACTGTTTTTACTTCGACCCATGAGTTTTCTCATTTTTGCTCTTCTCGTTCTCTCACCTGTCCTGGGGGAGGAGTACCAAGCTGCTGGGTGGGTGCTGGGCTGCTGGTTACCCCACCCCACCTGTACTTTTCATAGTACTTACATAGTAAGTACTTACTTTTCACTGTACTTACATAGAAGATCCTTCTATGAACTCAGTGAGCATCCCCACCATCCCGCTAAAACAAGCAGGGTTCATCTGAGGGAGTGCGGCCGGTCCACACATCAGCCGTGCTCCAGAGCAAGGGCAAGTGTGAGCACAGGCACAGAGCGGGGCAGGACCCCGGTCGGCAGAGCCGCCGAGAGCTTTGCCATCCGGCTCTGAACCCCCACACGGGGTACGCAGACGAACACAGCAAGTCCTTTCCCTGTCAGGGGTACGCAGACGAACACAGCAAGTCCTTT